AAAAATAAATAAATTTTATTTTATAAAATGTTTTTCATCATTTTTAATAATATTATATTTTTACAAAAATAAAATTAATAACGATTAAAAAAAAACAAGATAAATCGAATAATTTTAATTTTAAAATATAATGAATTCAATAAATTCAAAATAAATTATTTAATCTAATTAGTTTTTATATACAAAAAAAGAATTTTCATACAAAAACACGATTAGAATTTATATTGTTTTGAAATTTCACAATTGTATTTTGGTTTTTGTTATTTAATAATTATTGTTAATTACATAAATATATTTATTAAAATAAAAAAATGACTAATTCACAGTTATATCCTTATTAATACTAAAATATTTCTGTAAAGAATTAATAATTTTATGCTAAAGAAATGACTAAACAAGTAACATTCTGAAGATTTTTTGAAGCTCTGTTTGTTTATTCATTGTTTTCCATGGTAATGGAAGGTTAGAAATAAACGTATTGAATTTTATATTATTATCTACTTATCTATTTATGAAAAATAACCGTTATATTTACTATAATATGCAGGAGAAAGCAATCTCGAAGTAAGAGTGTGGAAATTGAGAGTTATTCATTATAAATGGAAGCATTTGTGCATGTCAAAAAAAATATATCTACGCTATTATATAAGAAAAATATATTTAATAATGATTACTTAAAAACAATATAATAAATTTCCACTAGATTAAATCGTAATTATTTTGATATTTATAAATTTTTAATTTATTTTGTTTTAAATCGATTCAATCACGTTTATTGCGCCTATGGCATCAAAACAGACTTCATAAACATGTTGCAGTAGAAACTTACATCAAAAATTAAGCCTGTTGACTGTACTTATATAATAATACAAAAATATAAAAATCAAATTACTTTCAGACGGCAAACGATATCATAAATTTATTGAGCAAAGTCTATTACTAAATTTATTTACTACATCCTAATCAATTCATCTTTAACGAAGTTTACGTTATGAACTCCCGTCAATTCCTTCGAGAAACTCTTTAATTTCACAAAATGTGCAAAATTGCAATCCTATTAACTCGGATTATTAATAAAGGAAATATATAATGAGATTTACATTCTTAAGACATCGAGTCGATCTCTGAATCTACTTATATTAAAATTGCATCAATAGATTTATTAAAGCAATTTTAGTTTTTTTCAAAATGATTATTATTTATACTTTGATCATCAGTCTTTTCTTTTTTACTAAACTTTTCTCTTTTCTATGCTTTATTATCTTCTAATTATCTAAATGAAATTGTATTGCCTATTCATTCATTTGCCTACTTAGCAAATTGATTTGTAAATGTTCGTTTCATTACAAGCAATGGTAGTAAAGTATGAAAAAAAGAAGAAAAAAATGGAAAATTGTAATTTACATTCTATGGATGATGTCTTAGAATACTCCACCATTTTGATTTATGAGTTCATTAAGGAGGAATCGGATGGAGACTCCTTCTGATTAATCGTTCTCAATCGAATTGGAAGAAGCTTCAGCAGCACAAAGAAAACTTTCTTTTCTTTTTTTTTTTTTAATTTTCTATCTCGTGTATCAACTTTTCGACTTCTAACTTATCGTCTAAAGTTGATTATTAAAATAATTTTTCGCTTAAAATATATTAATAAATCTTTTTGATTTCATATTGCAATAAAAAAATCATGAAAACAAAAATTTTCTATATTATAAGAAAAATATAATAGATTTTAATATTTTTTCGTTTCTAATCTTTAAATTATTTAATAACTTCGTTATATTTCAACCTGTTAGATCAAGCAATAAATACATATATTAAAAAAAATTGTTCGATAGGAGAACGTATCTGAAAAACATTCCGAATGCTTTACTTTAATAAAACTTATAATGCCCAAAAGCAAATTTTTAATGAATTTTATAAAAAAAATTTAAAAAAAGGAAACAAACTTAAATTAGTTTGGTAATTTTATTTTTTTAAAGGATGAAAACAATTTATGTCTTAGATATCTGAAACCATTGTAACCCGTCCTTGATCGATAGAGTATCGACTACTTTAATTCTTAACGAAGTAATTATTTTCTTACCTTTCCGTCCAAGCCGGGCATAAAAGTGCCACATCTCTGGCATGTGATTTTGCCACAGTCGTGGCACTTGGAGCTCGTTTCGCTGGTAATTTCGGCCACGTGACAAATAGGACATAAGCTTACTTGCTGTCTACGCAAATCCGGTTGGGTAGTGGTCATCGTTCTGCCATCTTGTCTCACTTGATCGGTTGGCCTGTTGAACACAATGTATACAGTACTCAGCATTATGTAAATAACANAAAGTTATTTTGAATTTAAAAAAAAAAAAAAAAAACTTAAAAAAATAAGAAACAATTCCAATTAAAGACATCGAATTTAATTTTCAACTTTTAATATAATTTTATTAATAGTTAGCGAGGTAAAATTGATTTTAAACACAATACCAACATCATTCCTAGCAAATTTGACAAGAAATTAGATCTAAGGAGTGACGAGTAAATGACATTAAGAAAAACAAACTCTATTAATTTGGTAGTAGCATCGATATCATCCCATTAAATAGAACAAAGTTCTACTTCGTGAAGAGAATCCACAAGATACAAAAGATATTATGAGTTCACCATGTTTTTCTATTCTTCTCCAATGCTCTTGTCATCGTTTTATGCTTGGCTGTCAAGCTTTCAACTATAGAGACGGGAAAACAATTCTTTCTGTTTTGTATCAAGATAAAAAGTCCAGAAGTTAGTAATAAAGTTAAATCTATATAAAGATAATAATAATAATAGCATTCTTAAATACATAATTTCATTTATAAATGAAGGAAGGAAAGGATTAGATACGTTTTGTAATCAAATTTATAGTTTAATTAAAACATTTTAAATGGATTTTCAATTACTCTTTATACTGTATAATAATTAAAGATAGAGACGAGATGATAAATTTACGCAGCTTTATACAATTTTAAAATACTGTATATTAATCATATACTATATGCACGATGGATAATAATTAATTTGAGGAAAATTGATAAGTGTTTCTCAGATTTTTTTCTTGTAAGAAGATTTGGATTCGTACAAAAATTTAATAGCACCGTAACTCGTAAATCAATTGGTTCGTTTAATACACTCGAATCGAATTTTGTATAGATAAAGAGAACAGATAAAGCATCTGTTCACGTGGGGTGTGCCTGTGACATTCGATCCTGACGTCAAAAGCTGGCAAGTTCTCACATCATTGTCAAAGCAGCATGTGATCGCCTTTAACAGAATTCTTTTAAGAACAGATAAAAAGAAGTCAAAGGCTTGGAACAATCTACATGTCACTAAATACAATAAATGAAAAAGAAAGTTTAGTATTTATAAATAATAGTTGTCAATTTGTTTATTTTTTCAGCTTGATAAATATATAGAATATACAAACTAGAGGTTAAATTGTGTCATGTAAGTTTGCGTGTCTTTTTTCCCTTTTTTTTTGTCATTGTTAATCCAATATTGCAAATAATTCGAATTTTATTTGAAAAAATTTTGACGCAATAGATCAATATGGAATTTTTGTATTTTAAATTTAAATTGTATTTTTTTTTCAAGCCTGTATAAAAGATCATGTGGAATATTTAATGTTCACTGTTGTGAAAGATGAAACCTTTCAGATCAATACAATAAAACATAAATGTATTTCTATATTTATTCAGAACTGTAACATATAATTCATATCTTCAAATTNTGTATTTTTTTTCAAGCCTGTATAAAAGATCATGTGGAATATTTAATGTTCACTGTTGTGAAAGATGAAACCTTTCAGATCAATACAATAAAACATAAATGTATTTCTATATTTATTCAGAACTGTAACATATAATTCATATCTTCAAATTCCAATCGTAAAAATATATTTTCGAAAAGTAGAAAGCGTAAAAAGTAATAAATTAGTGAAAGTTTGCAAAGTTTACTTTTAAAATCAAAGTAAAATTGCTTGGCAGTACAATAATCGTTACGTCATGCAACGAAAGATAAATATTTAAATATGAATTCACAATATTCACTTATTTTCAATACAGAAACAAGATTTCTTTTATAATACTGATAATATTCCAGTTAAAACGTTTTAAAATACAAAATAAAAACTATTTTTACAACAGAACGGAATTTGAATTTTATTAATTTTATTACCGTATTTCATTTAAATTACTTGAAAGAATGAATTTTTAAAAGATTGTTATAATGAAAAGAATATTTTATATCTATCATTTCTATGTAAAATATGTTTTTTTTTTTTTTTTTCGAGCTGTTCTAGTAGAAAATAATTAAATGTTAAGAAGAAACATGTTGATCGAACAAAGCATAAGAAAATTTCATTATCATATATTTAATACCTAGATTTTATTTGTTCACAATTTAAGTATCAAAATGAAAAATAAAATAATAAAATAAAATGTTATTTTTTAAATGTAAATCTTATTTAAATTATTAGGTAATTAAAATAAAATGAAAATAAAAAATACAAGAGGATAAAATACGCTTTCGAAACCCTGCAATTCCCAATTCAATTATTCAGTTTCAAATTTTTCTCTATAAAACTCTAGATATTTTATTTTGATACAATTTACGATCTTTCTGACAGCGGGTTTCTCTTTCCAAATATATTTACTACAAAAATCTATTCGATTTTTGTACAAAAATATTGTCTGTTTGTTCTTTTAAATCAAAATATTTTTATATATATTTTTTTTTTATTCAATAGTCTAAGAATTCAACTGTTAAAAAATTCTAGCTTTCAGAGACTTTCAAAATTTACTCCAATTCGAAAGATCAAGCTTGTTAGTCTGTTTTCGAAATTTTGATAAAAATAAAATTCCTTCACCTCGTTTTTATACAGACCTATTTCATTCTAATCGGCTTGCAAAAGATAAAGCTATTTTATTTTTCTTTTCTATGTAGTTCTAAATATTTGTAAAAAAATTACTTTTATCCTTGCCAAGTTTCTCGGAAAATACAAGATCCAAAATGAAAGCGAAAAAGTTATTTTGAATTTAAAAAAAAAAAAAAAAAACTTAAAAAAATAAGAAACAATTCCAATTAAAGACATCGAATTTAATTTTCAACTTTTAATATAATTTTATTAATAGTTAGCGAGGTAAAATTGATTTTAAACACAATACCAACATCATTCCTAGCAAATTTGACAAGAAATTAGATCTAAGGAGTGACGAGTAAATGACATTAAGAAAAACAAACTCTATTAATTTGGTAGTAGCATCGATATCATCCCATTAAATAGAACAAAGTTCTACTTCGTGAAGAGAATCCACAAGATACAAAAGATATTATGAGTTCACCATGTTTTTCTATTCTTCTCCAATGCTCTTGTCATCGTTTTATGCTTGGCTGTCAAGCTTTCAACTATAGAGACGGGAAAACAATTCTTTCTGTTTTGTATCAAGATAAAAAGTCCAGAAGTTAGTAATAAAGTTAAATCTATATAAAGATAATAATAATAATAGCATTCTTAAATACACAATTTCATTTATAAATGAAGGAAGGAAAGGATTAGATACGTTTTGTAATCAAATTTATAGTTTAATTAAAACATTTTAAATGGATTTTCAATTACTCTTTATACTGTATAATAATTAAAGATAGAGACGAAATGATAAATTTACGCAGCTTTATACAATTTTAAAATACTGTATATTAATCATATACTATATGCACGATGGATAATAATTAATTTGAGGAAAATTGATAAGTGTTTCTCAGATTTTTTTCTTGTAAGAAGATTTGGATTCGTACAAAAATTTAATAGCACCGTAACTCGTAAATCAATTGGTTCGTTTAATACACTCGAATCGAATTTTGTATAGATAAAGAGAACAGATAAAGCATCTGTTCACGTGGGGTGTGCCTGTGACATTCGATCCTGACGTCAAAAGCTGGCAAGTTCTCACATCATTGTCAAAGCAGCATGTGATCGCCTTTAACAGAATTCTTTTAAGAACAGATAAAAAGAAGTCAAAGGCTTGGAACAATCTACATGTCACTAAATACAATAAATGAAAAAGAAAGTTTAGTATTTATAAATAATAGTTGTCAATTTGTTTATTTTTTCAGCTTGATAAATATATAGAATATACAAACTAGAGGTTAAATTGTGTCATGTAAGTTTGCGTGTCTTTTTTCCCTTTTTTTTTTGTCATTGTTAATCCAATATTGCAAATAATTCGAATTTTATTTGAAAAAATTTTGACGCAATAGATCAATATGGAATTTTTGTATTTTAAATTTAAATTGTATTTTTTTTCAAGCCTGTATAAAAGATCATGTGGAATATTTAATGTTCACTGTTGTGAAAGATGAAACCTTTCAGATCAATACAATAAAACATAAATGTGTTTCTATATTTATTCAGAACTGTAACATATAATTCATATCTTCAAATTCCAATCGTAAAAATATCTTTTCGAAAAGTAGAAAGCGTAAAAAGTAATAAATTAGTGAAAGTTTGCAAAGTTTACTTTTAAAATCAAAGTAAAATTGCTTGGATTATACAATTTGCATGGCTTTATTTTCGATTTTTACTTTATCGGAATAATGCAATATCGATTGAAATCACATTGGCTTAATTTCGTTATTAAATCCACGTAATTTCTGCATGGTTAAACAGCATTCACTATTTGTGATTCGTTGAAAGTTTTACGTAATTCTCAAACGTTTGAAAAATTAGCATTCACCCTGCGACTTCTGTCAGGGACATCTGTATCTGTAGCAGTTAACGAGAGATTAGTGCTATAGTAGCATCATTAATCAGTATACAAATTTATAAACACTGTTCTAGACTTGTCATTTAAATTTTCGTGTTTGGAAAACGTAATTTGCTTTTTGACCATTTGTATCTTACCAGCTTAATGATATATTCAAATGTATCACACAATTTAGTTATACGTTTAAATTCCTTTTCCTCATTTATTCCTTCGTTATTTTAAGAATGAAAACCTAAAGATATTAGCTAATTAATTATACATTTTAAGTAAATTATTCCGTTAATATAATATATATATATATAAATATTATGAACTACATCGAATTATCAAAATTATTTCACTTAAACTAAGTAACTTAATGATGTTTTATAAATGATTAAAATCGATTATTCATCTACAAATAATGATGTAGAATTCCAGATGAAGATTCAAATCAGATTAAGATAATTGCTGAATATTAAACAAGTCTGATCAATCTGTAAATGTAATATTAATTGCAAACAATAACAGTTATTGCTTACTATAAATATGATAAATGTATTATTATCGTATATTCTCCTAAACGAAATATTAATACTGTCAAATCTCAAGAATAATCATTAAACGGCAGCCATTTTTTCAGGAATATTTCTTTTTGAAATGCATAGAAAATAACCTCCAAACAATTGCATTTTTACCAAGTTGTTCAAAGGACTGACTATGAAATTTACCATAGATAAAAGCATTAGGCTTTAAGAACAATATAATTTTAGTAATATGGACAAAATGGGAATGCAAAAAATAATAATTTTGAAAAATATTGCAAGAAAAGATCATCAGTATGTGTTTGCTTATCTAAAATTTCTTTCCTACATCGGGGAATCTACGAAAAAAATATTCCTAATCGGTGAAGATTATTTTGCACATTCTCATTCGAAAACTCAGTTACATATTATCAACTCAGGAATCTTTCTTCAAGAATAAATTGCATTTTCTCGGAATTTTGAAGAATCGTGTTAGTGTATGAATTCTTTCTTCGGCTGTTTTCAATAGAAAAAAAGCTTCATAAAAATTTTCTTGTATTTGATTAATATTTAACTCAAAATATTGGATATTTCTCTTCAATGGATATGGGAATTGACGTAAAAATTAGTATTGGTGTACAGATTCTAACATCTATTGCTACTAATTCTCGAGTAAGCCATACTAAACGAGTCTTAATTGAAACTGTTAAGAGCTCGTCAAGATGAGATTTACCGGTATCTTAACGACATTAATTCCATTAAAGGCACCATAATAGTGTAAAATAAAATCGTGTTAACTTGGGCATTGTAGAAAGTAATATTTTCGGCGTATTTATTCATCCAGATAAATACCAAATTAAAATATTCTTAAAAAATTCCTTTTTGTACCAGAATTTAATATTTTTTTAAAAAAAATTATATTATGTTAAAGTAAATAACATTAAGCTTCAATTACTCGAATAACAGCTTTTCTGCTATCCAATATCTCTTATCTTTACTTATTTCTTCTGATGGAACTCTTCTGGTAGTAAATTGACATTCACTTTTCTATGGCACCCATGGGTTTTGGAACATGAATGATATCCACAGAACACCGGCGGCCATACTTCAGCAAGATTTTCATCTTCATTTTACTAAATTAATGGGAATCTGCTGTTAAATGATCCATTAAATCCAAACGGCAAACATTATCCCCGAATCTACTTAACTTAAAATGAAGGAATATTTTGATAATAATTATTTAATCATAAAACTGCATTTCTGAATTAAAGATTTAATACAAATCACGTAAGTCATGTTAGAATTGTATAAATTAGTATAACTATATTGCTTTCAAGTAAAATTCTACACAGTTTACTAATTAAAAATCCCATTGGAACCGTGTTAAATTAATCTTTAAATGTAATAAAAAATGACAATAATATGTAACTTTATTATCCAATTTGTTAAATTATAACAAAATATATGAATAATAATTATTAAAAATATGTTAAATATATTAATAAGTGCATTCACATGATAAAAATGTTTCGTTTGTTTTTAATCTTGTAGTTATTTAGAAAGAAATTAAAAGAATTGATTATTTACAATAGGTTTTATCAAACATTTTTCGCTAAATTAAGTATTAATCAGTATAAAATTAATTTCAGAGTAACAGTTCTAAAATACTCTTCCACTTGACAAAACTTAATTATGTATGTCATATGTTAGATAATGATTTATATAGAGTCATACCGATGATAACTCCGTTCATTCTTTAAATTTCATACATAATGCGTTACGTTGCCATAATTGGATATTTTTACTTCAAAACTGAGTTTTTTCCCATATAAAACGGATGTAAAATGAGATGAAACTGTAAAAAAAATATATTTAAAAATCGAAGTTTGAAAGAAAATCAAAGCTTATTGATTTTAAGTTTTTGTTATAAGCATTAAAAAAAATGTTAATTAGAAATCTTGAATCATAAATTTATTCAAGCTTTTAAGGAAGACATATTTTTTCGAGAAGAAATATAAAAAAATAACACCCGTTAATGAAGCAAACAACTAATATGTTGATGGTTTAATATAAAAAAAAAGATAATTATATAAGACAATAAAAATATTTCTGGTAAAATTTTATAAAAATGTACATCGTTAATATACAAAAAGTTTAATACTGTATAGAATTTTTGTGCTTAACCTTTACAAAAACATAACAAAAAATTCCGAATTTTAATAATGATTTAATTATGTGATAATTTTATGGAAACGTTATAAAATATTCTTTTCTTTCAATTTAAATTTTTTAATTAAATAGTAAACTTTTTAAAAAATTTAAAATAATTTTATAATTAAATTATTTTTA